AATGGAGCTCACGCTGTTGGCTACGCTCAAGGGAAACTGTCTTAACCGGCCTTAAATCTTCTCGGGAATCGTTAGATCTCTGGCGCTTTTAAGAATGAGACCTTGATGTTATTCCTACAAACAAAAAAAAAAAAGACTTTGGGATTTATTTTGATATTTATTATGTTATGTCCGCTATAGGTTTTTGCTTCATTGCAATAGTTGATAGCTGCTACAAGTTGACCCTTGCTCGTCTTTTTTGTCTAACCCCTCATGCTTCCGCAGAAGGTGAGTCGCTTACGTTTGCTGTGGCCGTGCTGCCATCTTGCTGATTCCACTGCCGCGTCTCTGCATAATCGCTTGCGTCCACTTGCTTCCGCTGAGAGGCATTACTTGGAGAGCTTGGAAGCGAAGCGGTGCTGCCCGTTCGACGCATGCGTTGGGTGCCGCTTGAACTCACAGTTGACGGTGCGGCCTGTGTGTGTACACTCTTCAGCCGTGCTCAATGCACGCGCCAGAGAGCAGAGTGACATAAAATGCCAAACACGCGGCAAGTCAGTCCTCACAGCTTTTGCGGGTTGCTGAATTCTGCTTGCAATGTTGTTTGAGCGCATAGCTTGGTGTTGTACCATGTAAATACCTAACCGGTACGAGCAGTGTACTCTGTGCAAACTATGGTCGCGGAGAGCTTAATAACCGCAAGGCGTGGTAAGTGGCCGCGCACCTTATTATCGCTCTACGGCCAATCAGGTGGCGGCATAGGCGGACACGAGCACCGAATAGCCAATGAGAGCCAGTTCACCGCCTCCTCTTTCTTCGTGTAACGTCGCCAAATCACGACGGCTCAGTCGCAACGATTGGTCGCCCAGCGTTCGCCGAAGCACTGATTGACAGCGAGTCGCAGTCGAACGCTCACGCAACGGTCGTGTCCAGGCTATGCCCGTACCCGGTCGTAGTATGCTGACGTCACAAGTCGATTGCACAGGCCATGATTGCCTAGGTATTTATTTTATAAACTGCTATAATTGCTCTTAACTGGACTAAATGTACCCACTGTAATGTCCCGTATCATCGCCCACCCCACTTTTTGGGCAGATGTCGATTAAAAGAAAAAAAAACATCGAATGATCGCCCACTCGTACAAATATACTAACGCGAAACATTCATCCTCACCAAGTGTCGCGACCGCGGACGGTGCGGTTGAAGAAAATCCGCGACGAAGTAAAACGAAAGGGGAAAGACGCTTCACTTTGTTTACTCATGTCCTCCCCTATTTCCGCGACCTCGTCTTTCCCTTTTCGCACATTCTTGCGAAAGGAACACGGCGGACGTAACAGAATAAAGTTTTGTTTTGCTTACAAAAGAAGTTTGTTCGGACAAAAAAGAAATCGGAAAGATAACACAAAAAATAACCCATCGAGGGATCACGAGGGCAGCGAACGCCTCATATTTTGGAATGTAACCTCGGAATGTAAGTTCAGAGATGCTTCCTTTTTTGTCATATCTGTAAGCGACTCCGTACAGTACGTCTCAGTCGAAATGAGGTCACCGCGAACCAGTTCTTCCTCCCGGAACGTCGCGACCGCGGTTGGTGAGGTCGGGTCGGTTAGTGAACCCGTGAGACGCTTGGGGATGTTTCCGAAGCGTCCCATTTCGAGCTCCGTGTTATCGTAGTGCCTTCCACGCCACGCAGCAACGCCATCGCCTCAGTTCGCGTTGATAGCACACGGTGCACGGACGCACGCATGTACGGACGAAACAAGGAAGTTGCAGAAGAGCCTGCTCCTTGTGACTGACAAGGCGCTCGACTTGGCGCAACGCCAAAGTATTTGCCAACGCGATCGCCGGTTTTCCCGCTTCCCCAGCTTCAAACTTCGTCGCGTCCTTCGCCCGCTCGCTCGCCCGCTGGTTGTGGCTCGTTGACTATCTCTCATTTTTGTTAGAATTATTTTTGACTCTATTTACTACGAGACATGGCTCACCCAACTTTTTTATACGAATTTCAAGTGGCAGGGGGTGGGCGATGACTAGGGATATTACTTACGTCAAAGAATAGATGGGTACGTTTGTTGCTTTTTGCTTACTTTCCCTATTCAAACGACATTTCTAGTGATCGAGCTAGTAATGCGTTTACTGGTAACGCTTCGCGCAAACAGCTTATTTTGTTGCAATGGTGGTTGTATATACTACGACAACTCATTGTCTTAATGAATGCAGCTCTCCCCCCAAAAGCGAAAGCTGCGGTTATTCACATGCGCAAATCCCGTTTGTTAAAGAGCCTAGCACCTGCCCATGCCCTGTTCTACAGCCTTGATGTGACGTCAGAGATGGGCTGTATAAATGAGCTTTTCATTATAAAATCTTCAACGCAATGAAATGCTGCCGCGTTCTTTGCAAAAGAAATCGCATGCAAAACGACCAAGAGAGAGAGAAAAAAAAAAGGGTGAGTTGGTTATTCAAAGCCGGCTATTCTTGGGGGTGCTAACCGGAAGCAATCCGTTCACGTTTGCCTCCCACCTCGCTGCAAGCACGCTTTTTCCTTGCTGCCCCTTTCACCCATGCTTTCTCTTCATCCCTTCCTCCTTCCCCTTGGACCGCAGATGCCTGCAGGTTATTTTCAGACTAGAAAGAAGGTACTGTTCCCGTGGACGTTTATGCGTGTAACTGCTCTGCCGGACCGCCTCTCCGACTGGTGTGTTCTTCTTGGCGTCGATATTTGACTTCCGGGAGAGGAAGTCCCTGTGGAAAGTAGACAAATTGCGTCACACGAGCAAGCGTCTCGGATCGTTGCGACGCTGGCGAGTGGTCTTACAAGCTGCGGCGCGGCAAACGAAAGGTTGCAGAAGTGACTTAAGTCGTAGCCTGCTGCCTCGTGACGATTCCGTACTAAAATAGGAACCATAACAACAATCGTCTTCTGCACGCTACCATGATTTTCTGCTGGGCTGTTGTTGAATGCAATCTGAACGATCGCAGTAGCTCACTTCTTCGAAATATTAGAGGCCGCGCACGCGTCCGCGGCTCAGTGACTCAGCATTTCTTACCGAAGTGGTAGGCGCTGGAAAGGTTGGCTTTTCTAAAACATGGCGTGGTCATTGCGGTACTCGTTGTCTGCGCACAAGACACAAACGGCCGTGATCTCCCACCTTTCCCTGCAAGCAGTGGGCTCATCACAGGTTGGTCGAAGCTGCACCTAGCGAGTGACTCGTCTTTTGCGGGCAAACAACATCTCAGCCATGAGTCGTACGTTTATTGAAACAGATCTGGTATTTGCTATTCAACACAAGCTGCATACCCTTAGAAGAGTTTCCTCTCTCGATCTTTCTAGAAGGTGCGCCATCTGATATCTTAGGCTGAGTGGGATGACCTTAGTCCGTGTCTATGTTCCAACCCAGTCTCTCAACTGGCAGGCTCCAGAGTTGGCTATTTGCCGTTGCAAAGAAAGCGACGCCACCCAGCGGAAAAGACGTGAATGAAAGAAGCGTGGAGCCTAGCTCCAATTCAAGTGCGCGGCGAAAACTTGCGCGGCCTTGCGACCGAAACGTATAACCGAGGAAATGGGATGAAATGCACGCCAATGGATCTGCGAACAGCCCAACATGCATTCGTCGTCTTTCGCATCCGCCGCCGAACGCGCCGGTGCTTCTATGAGCCACCAAGGTGTCGCAACTATCCGAGGTTTAAATATATGCTGACATCACAGGCCGAAAATTGAACGGAAAGAATAAAGACGTTGTCGGTCACACCTGTCAGAGATGTGTTCCGTGCAGTGTAGTGTAACTGCCTGGCCGTCTGCATGGGTCGAACTGTCCTTGTGGCTCATTCGGTGAACGTCTGGGGATCTTAATGTCTTTGCACCTTGCTCGCATACGTCGTAGTATGTTTTGGTGCAAGTGCTTCTTCTTTTGTGGCTAGCAGGTTGAATGCGGGAATCACAGAGAGAGAGCACGGAAAAGAGGGACGTCGGCGTGTCTTTTTAGGGGGAATTGGTCGGTGCTTGACGTGGGTATCCGTTTGATGTCCCTGTGGACAGTATATAATGATCGAAGGCTCAACTTCGGTAGCGCAGAAACTGAAGGCAAATGACAAGGTTTTGATTTTAGTTTGACTTGAATTATTGAGCCAACTGTGCAATGTTTTCGGGCGATTGGCCGTAATGTTTCTACTATTAACCGCGGTTTTGAAAACAAGAAGAATATCTTCTGGAGAAAAACCCATTTCCTTTGGGAATCATATTTTTTTGGCATAAAAATAAAACTATCATTTTTCAAGCGCATTGTTGCGCACTTCGTAACGTGTAAATCGTAATTAAAGCACTTAAAATTACGCTGCAACAACAGCCCTATTTCCGTTGGGCCCAGTTTTAGCCATCAGCTTTAGTTGTCACTTTTAGCTTCCAGTTACTTGAGGGACTGTGCAATAACCCTCCTCAAAGTACTATTTAAAAGTATGAGGTTAGAGACTTTTTTGCACTTTTGATATTAAGGAACGAATGGTTAGAATCTACAAAAGTCATTTGCCTATGGTCGACCGATTGACATGCTTTGGGCGCACTGATTCTTGGACGGTTAAATTCACAGAATCCGTGATGCACACGTTGTTGTGATTCAATGTTCACAGCACACGGAGCTGTTCGAATGCAACAGTGGTGGTCGGTATACCGAAATCATGTTGTCATTGTCTGTGCTACCCGGGTTGGCGGAGTATTCCAGCACCTGTGGCAGTATGAGGCGGTAAAGTGGTTTTTCTTAAAGCCACTGATGCCATTTTGTTTTTTGCGGGATGGCAAATCTTTGATGACTACCAGATACGTACCTTTAAGTGGAAACCACTCTACTCCTCATGGTGAAGAGCACGTTATGTGTTTGGTTCGTAAATGGCGTTGTAGTGTCGAATGCCGTTTTAAAAAGGTGGTGGAACACCGGGTGCACAAGTTGTGTGTTTGGCAGCACTTGGTTAATGGTGGAGGCCATGCTGTGTGAAAACTATCTCTAACACCTTTCCCCGTTGCGCTCGTACAGATCAAGTTTGTCGACTCGTTCGTGCAACACAGCACTTCTGCGGTAGACACCACGACGTGTTTTGTTCAGGTGAGTGACGATAAATGAATCAAAATCGTAGTAATATCTCGGCTCGTTTCCATTGGCCTCTATATTCTGCATATGTCTAATCTCAGATGGGCACAGTTACTGCCCCAGTAAACTAAGAACCCTAGTGACGAAGTAATATCTGAATGTGTCCAATAAACCCATGTGAATATATTCAATCATACAACAACATATATGCGCCTTATACAATGTAAGTTTTGATATGTTTATTATACAATTACTTTTTTTCAATATAGAAGAATGAAAGCAACAGCTTTAATGCAGTCGTCAATTGAGAATAACGTTTTTTTTTTGTTTGTTTTTTTGTGTGGTCACCTTTTATCAGCATATGTTTCTCATTGCGATAATGTTGAGTTGATTATGTTGGTGCGACATGAGTGAACTGTTACGCTTTTAAGAATTATGCTAGACACACAACATCAGAACGTATAGTGATTGCAATAATTCCTGTGTGTATTAATTCTTAGACGGCTTTAGTTAAAACAAACTGTCTATTCTGGCTCCGTAGATCAAGGAGTTCTGGAGGCAGCTAGCGTGGCCGGATCTTCAAGGCTCTTACCCCTTTGTCTTCAAGATATTAGAGGTAATGTACAGGCTTTCTCCCTTCAAGGCCAACCAGGATGCTTGACGAAGTGTTTGGTTCTCGTAGGCCGTTTGCGACGGCGCCATGTTCTATGCCAACCTGTGCCATCAGAAGCTGCTCAACGCCGGCTACTACGACGAAGAAGGACAGTTCGACGTCTCGGAGGAGGTACGATTCCCTCAACGCTCCTTCAGCATCAGCTGCGCTCTGACTTAAAATGAAACGAACCCTAGGTAGTGCGTCAGAGAAACTCTTAGCTTGTCACAACCTTAGCAATCCTTAGCTAGGCTTAATACGGGCTTACTTCAAGGCGTTAGTGGCAAAGTAGTTTGGCGTTCGTTGAAGCCTGCGAGTTCCTTTCCCCGTAGAACTCAGAGGCAGCCAATCACGTCGAACATTAGGATCCTAACGAACGGCGAAGTTGATTATCTGATTAGATCTACAAAATACAATGTGCGCAGGGGCAAGAAGCTGCTGAAACGTCGTAATCATTGTCCCCCCACATAAAAAAAAAAAGAAAAAAAGAACGCGTTTTAGCCACGCGGTTTGTTTAGCCGTTGTAGCATAGTCTGCCTTTGTGTGCCTTTCTCCTGACACCCAAGGTGTGCATCGTGATCAACAACATGGAGCACGTGCGGCGTGCCCTGCGTCCCCTGCACGAGGAACTAGACCTGGACCACATCGTGGGTGCCATCGAGGTCTCGGAAGGGGACCGGCAGGCCGACAAGTGCAGGGCCGCCTTCCAGGGCCTGCTGCACGGCGCCGAAGAGGACGTCGTCCACAAGATTCTCACAATCATCGCGGGACTTTCGGAAAAGGTAATGGAACGAGTGGCATACTTGTTATCTATATGCAGTGGTGCTGAAGCGCTCGAAATTCGACCTACAGAGGCGTCTTCTGCCGTGCAGAAAACCATTTTCCGGTGTTCTTCTCTTCGTTTCCTCTCACGCTCTTCTGCCCAGTCTCTCCCGGAAAGAGCGTGTCTCCGAGTTGTTCCGAATTACTCCCCACAAATAGTAGAAGGACTATTTTTGTCTTTTGTCTCTGTCTTGGAAAGGCGTAATCCAAAGTCGACTCCGTTGCTTCTGACACTCTTGAGACTGGTTCAGATCGACTGCGTAACGACCGCATGCGATCGCTTATGACGAGGTAATTGCCTGTGGCAACCGAGATCCGGAAGACGCGTCATATTGCGTTACGAGATCAACGAATCGTAACAAATTGGCCATATTCGGACGAGAAGATCTGAACCATTCCTAAGTAACCGTTACTTGGGGGAGATGAACGGGATGATCTATCAGTGCAGTGTCAGTTCTTTTGTGTTTCGCTACTCCCCAAGAAATTTGCGGTACCTTTCTGCTTAGTATTGGGTAATTCCGGAAAAGCATATTATCTCGCGCCAAAAGATAATAGGGAGTTTTAGAATAGCGCACGCTCAAGCTTTGCGTACGCAAAGAATAGCGTCGTGGCCACTGCGCATGCTCCGAACGCAAACCAGGTTTTGCGCTTTGCGTGCGCAATTTTAGCGTGCGCTATTTCTCGGAAATAGCGTGCGTACGCAAAGAGTCTTTGCGCTTCTCCAAGAAGGATTCGTGATGAAGTTGGCTAAAGCCAAGACGAGCAGAGTTAAAAAAATGGCGGCTTCCAGGATTATGTCGGCGGCTGCTTTGGCGGCGTCGTGAGTGCGACGTCGGCGGCATCCTCGCGACTGCGAGTTTCAATACGGGACGACATTGTACTCGGTTTGGCAACGATCCCCGGCAACTTGATGCTTGCGACGCGCGAACATTTCTCGGCTAAGGTACGATGTGCGAAGGTCAGTACACGAGACCTCTTTTGCCGAGGAGACGCAAGCGGACACGGCCGGTCAACCGCTTGCGTCGCATTCTCAGGTTTAAACAAATCTACAATAGTACTCTGAACCAAAAGCTTGTTTGTTTCTAAAGTTACAGCATTTCGTGTGTGAAATAAAAATTGTGACTGTATCTTGGTGGCGTCGCAAGCTCGAGCTGCTTGGGCTTTTGTGTCGCGGCGGAGAAACGCTATTCTGAAACTCTCTTGCGTCTCGTGCGCTAATACAAGCGCTAAATTTAACGCTAGCGTTCGCTAAATTTGCGTACGTTATTCTAAAACTTCCGAATAATTTCTTTGTTTGTTTCGTTAAAAGGCTTTCAGCACTCGGTGTAGCCAAACTTTTATCTTGTTTGGGTTTGAATTTTTATGTACAAATACTACAGCACTTCGTAGTAAAGGTATAATGGGAATATCTTGTCACCGCATTGAATTGCCTCGCCTAAAAACATACAGAGGGTGGTTTCCCTCGAAAATGGAAAATAATGTAGAGAGGAACACTGAAAACAAATATTTTTTTTTTCTGCAGAATAAAGCTATCGAACGCAGTGTCACAGGTTATGAGTGCAATGTGTCAATTAGAAAATAAATTAGCTGAAATGTACTAATTACCTTCTGAAATAATAATTTTAGTTGGCACGTTTCATTTACAGTTGTGGTGCCCGTCGGGAAAGTGTATAATCATAGGAGGTGTTAGAACTCGGACAACAAATGTCGTGAGCAGACGAGGTACCGAAACTAGACGCAAAAAGTATGGCGGAGGTCGTACCCGGAAGTGAGTTGTCCAGGAGCATTGAACGGTCTTTCAAAAGTTAGTGTTTATAAACCTAATACCTACCATGGATCAACTAGCCCAAACCAAAGTTTTAATGAATCTGACGACTGCTTTCGGGGTAGATCCGGCACTTCTCGTCACTTCGTCGATTGTTAGTATTTCTTACATTACACTGTGCCCCGCGCTCTATTGTAGAAGATGACATGGACATGACCATAAGGCCTGTGGGCATGTGCACAGACCTTGTGTTGAGTAAACACTAAGGGTCTGGGGAAACAAGCGGGTCAGAGCGCCCCCTATGGTTCGATCTCCTACCCAGTACTCTGCTCTCTCTCTCTCTCTTCAGGCATGTAAACTTCGGCGCTCATTTTTTGTTTCTGTTTGTTAGTTTCGGTATGGTGCACGCTACGCAGAATACCTCCGCCAGAAAATAGCGCTTAGAAGAATTCAGTTCTTTGAATTCTAGAAACTGCTATTGCATATATTTGCCACATGCTGCACATTTCTAATTAAAATGTGCCAACTGAAGGGAATATTTCAACGTGTAATTAAGTTTTTAATTATCACTTCGCACTCTCTATGCGACGTCCGCCGCTGTGGATAGCGTTATTCCGAAGCAATATATTTATTTATACCCAGTGCCCCCTACAAACAAAGTTCACTGTTAGAAGAATACACATTGTATATTTGCGTGCTATGTTTATAAGAAGCAGACATGAGAGTATGGTCAGTCGAGGAGGAAAGGAATGGGAGTCTGATAAAAGCTTCCCATGCAAACACCAGCTCGAGTAAACCAAGAACTGATTCCTACTTCATGATTTAGTGAGGTACGGTAAAAGTGTTTATACTTGTTTAGCCGGAGGGAAAATATTGTCGTATTATCCTATTCACTACACCGAGGAAGGGTTTGGCTAGTAAGCACCAAGGAATGCCTCACATTCAGGTTGGCGGCCAAATATTGGTTTAATAGAGTTGCACCCCTCCTCGTCTCGAGGAATTGAGTTCTGTTGACCTGAATATCATAACGCGGATTCCTTGAAGCAAGGTACACTATATAAGGGGTGTTCACTGATCGTTTCTTGTGATTTGTTTTTCTTTTTAACTTCTTAATGGGTATTATTGTGCTCTGCCAGATGCGTCCGGAAATTAAGAAGTTCCTCTTCCACTTGGCGTGGGCTCCAGAGAGGCTTGACGCTGACAGTGTGAGTATACACCATGTGTCAAACACCGGCAAACGATGGGTTTCTTTCCTAATAATTAAACAAATATAGCCAATACATCGTTTGCTTTCATAGACAGCTCTTAGCGTTTTATTTGTTTCTAGGGGTATAGACCGACGCACTCTGTACAAACAAGTCAGCGTTTGTCCAGAGCGGGCACTCTGCGTGCACGAAGACCAGATTCGCGTGAAACGAAGCATGTGCGCCCGCGGGAGCACTGCTACCTCGGCGACATGATATTACAGCCGCGCGTTTGTATACCTGCATGTCCCCTGTCCAGCGATGATTGGTTACAAGACCCTTGCAGTTAAAAACAAAGCAGCAGACAAATAAATCTAGAGCTTCTTTTAGGATCCGCTTGTGCAGTAGATTAGACGATATCAACACATTTTACAGTACGTAAAATCGTTCCAATTTAAAACAGTACCAATATCGATACTCGGAAAATTAAAAGCTTGCTAGGGACTTCATCTCGATCCGTTCCTTCGCGAAAATGAAATATTCTAGCAGTATTTAAAAAAAAAATTATAAATTTTATATCCTATTCAGTGTTAAGGCGATGCTATATAGAGCGCTTCCGTTCATCTGTTACATTAAGTTCTGCGTCATATCTTCTCCTAACACGGGGAAAGGTTAAACTCCGCGAGCACGTTTATGCGAGTGGCGGCTTAAATTCTTTATTTAACGCTAATTGTGCATATTTGCCAGCCTGAAGTATCAACAATGAGGGAAGAACTATTGAGATGGGGTTTTTGTAATTAACGACGTCTCGGTCGTATGTTCTATAAAGCCGAATCGAAATCTTTTGAATCAGTGCTTGTATTTAGTTCTTTATGGTTTCGTGTGTGTGTGTGTTTTTGTTTTGGATCTGGCTGCGTACCGTAACATTGATTGCGTTGATGTTAGGACAACACGATGAATTATATTTCTAGCCTGCGAATGATTGTCGGGCATCTTGTGTCCCGCTTGTCAAATCTTCCACTTGTCTGATTTTTTTTGTATAAGCACAATATCATTTCGAAGGCCCAGTTTCGTTTTAGAAAGCATAAGTCAACAGAACTTTCCTTACTTGAAGAGAAAGTGTTTAATTTGAGAAATCTCGAAGAACGGAAATGAGTACTCGGGATTTCTGTTGACTTTACTAAGGCTTTTGGATTTTTAGATCATGATTCGATGTTGAAAAAAATGCAAACCTTACGTACTTCGCGGACAAGCTTTATTTATTCTTCAATCCTGCCTTGGAAACCGCAAACAATACGTGTGTTGTAATAATTTGAATTCCAGAAATATAACCTGTATTATCGGGCGTACCTCAGGGCAGTATTTTAGGACCTTTAATTTTTAATGGTTATGCCAGCGATATTTTAAATACTCACCAGACCACAAAATTCGTTATACAACTTTTTTTTTTTTTAGCTGACGAAGCGCATAAACTTATATCCATGCTAACACAGTATTACATAAATTAGACTTAAGGACAGATAGTTACTATCTGTCCATAAATACCACTGAAACAAAAGCACTGATATGCAGGCCGAAAAATAAAGTTCTACCTTCGTTAGGTAGTACATGTCAAATTCAGTCAACATTGAATCTTCCAAAACTCTTGGAGTTGTCACGAACAATGTCTTGGGATGACCACATTGAGCATTTAAACAATAAATTAGCAAGGAGTCTAGGTCTCTTATGTAGGAACCGTTGTATACTTCAAGAGTCAGTCAAAGTATTACTATATAAATCTCTATTTATTTCTCATTTAACTTACTGTGATCTGGTTTCGGGTACTACCACGGCAACATAAGTTAAGATAATGACACACTTCAAAAACGAATAGTACGTAATATTTCTAATGTGCCTTTTTACTCGCATACTGAAACATTGTTTAGAATGTATAAAATAATAAGCATCTATAACATATATATTTATAGGCTTTCTATAATATATAAAAACGAACTGCTCAATAACAATACCTATATGGCATAATTCGCTGGTTTTTCCCAACGTGTTTCCAAATATAAATTTCGTAACCACGAATACTAGAATGTAGCCAGTTGTCGCTTAAATCTTGAAAAAAAAAATGTTATCTTTTAGATTACCCAAACTGCTTAATACTTTTCACTCGAATGATGTTTTATTAGATAAAGTAATGATAAATGAATTATGCGATTTGATGTATATTTTATTTTGGTCTAATAATGTTTTTAGTTCTGTAACTTGCGTATTCGCGGCTGTAGAATGAGACTGGGGGCCGAGAGCTTGTCAAGCCGCTTTGTGCAGCTTTTTATTTTGTCTCCGCCATTGAAAATTGGAAATAAAGATTATTATTATTATTGTTGTTGTTATTATGTCGGCGTATTTCTTCCTGACGTGTATTGTATAATCCCTTATTTTAAAGAAAGTAGTACTGGTTTCCTTTAAGCGCTTGCGTGCTGCATGCATGAAGTGCACGTGCGGTTCGGTATAGGTAGCCCCCACATGCGTTCACGTTTACTATTCAATTCAGCCTCTAAATAATACAATACAGGGAGTTCCCGAGAAAATAGGAGCGTGTTATTCGGCCCGGGTGAGTAAACTATAATAATCTTTATTTTTGTTGTGTCCACAAACAGGACATAGCCTAAATAGTGGTACACAGTTCGTCATTGGAAATTAAATGCAGACAGCCACATAGATTCAACATTATACACTAATGATTGACTCCAGTGTACGTTGAAAAGTTGTCACGTCACTAAAAATGTCTATAGCAGATTGGTCAAGCCTGTTAAATTCCAGCTCCAAATTCCAGCGACAAAAAATTATCGGACATGAGCCCTGACACACGAACATAATTTTCACGACATGAGAGATAACTTTTAAACCAATGGCAGTACGTTGGACACAAACCATAACTATCAAGTTTGGTAAGAATATTGTGATCAACCTTATCGAAGGCCTTCGTCGTATCGAAATATATTTCATCGACTTGTGCATGGTCGCGAACAAATGGAACAGTATAATCTAAAAAAGAGCACAGATTAGATTGAACTGACTTGCCCTTCAAAAATCTGTGTTGCTCAGGGTTTATTTTTTGGCTGTAGTAACCGTACAGACGTTTGTGTATTACCATCTCAAAAACCTTGGAAAAACAACACAGTAACGAAACGGGACGGCAGTTGTTTACAATACTAGGATCGCCTGATTTATGGATCGGAACAACTACGGCGCTTTTCCAGATAGCATTGGAGAAAGCTCAAACACCTTAAGAATATGAAGCTAACGGTTGAGATAGAACGCCAAAGTTTGATAATGTGAATTCATCTGTATCAAAAGATAATTGAGAAAAGCGAAATTTCTGGACGAGCCCCAGTGTACCTAAGCTAAATATTAGTCAACGCAAATAATTACATTCTCGACACCTGTAGCATCTATTTCATTGAAAAAAAAACTTGTCAGCAAGAAAGAAAACAATATCCTCTTTCTTGCTCACAAATGTTTTTCATTTATGTAGAGTCCACAAGTGTCTACAATGTGACTTAATGTTTTGACAATATTAGGCTTAGGCGGACGCCAGCTCATAGCAAAATTTCGTCTTTCTCTGTTATCTTTTGATCCAGGTAACGTCATGTTCTCAAACTTTCGCCTTCTTTGCCAACCGCCAGTGTCACATTTTCAGAGAGTTTGAGCTGTCTACGATGTATAGTTTATTCATCCGGGCCAAAAAAGAGGGTCTCTTTTCTCGGGAACTTTTTATACTTTAGAATACATATATCGCCGGGCCTCTCACGACCATACCGGAATAACGTAAAAGTGTCTCAAAACTTGTCCATGCGTAAAATGTTTTATGGAATTTCACGATGACATAATTCCCTATCAGTTTCGGTTGCTGTGAAGTGAGTATTTGCTTCTGGGGCATCGGAACAGGCACTTGGACCTCTAGTCGACTACCTGGACACGAATCTCAAGACGCTGTACCAGAGTCTCATGCGCGTCAATTTCTACCGGACGCTGGAGGCGGTCTGGAGGGTGGTCCTCCAAGAGCTCACTCTTACTGCCAGGAACAACCTTGGGGTGAGCATCTCAAAAGTTTTACGATGTTTCTTCTTTTTTTCTTTCTAAACACGATCTTCACTCTGATTTGAGGAAAGCTTTGGTGGAAGCCATATTTGGAATTTATCGATTGACAGGAAGAATACGGTACGGGTAGGTTTTCCTTGCGTTTTAATTACGAGCGAGCATCTTCTCGCCAAGGAATTCAGTTTAAAATAAGGTCGTTCATGAGTCCTTTTGAAGTCACCCGATGTTTCATTGAGGCATATAGGTCAGCCATGTTCGATTCTACTTCGATCTTGTGCACTAATCTACTCCTTTGGAGCAGCCGGTTTATGGTAAGGATTGCATTATTCAGTCTCTAAAGTCACCGAAAACTTCAAAAGTGCAAGGGATGACTTGTTGATTTCAATCTTCTTGCTTGGTGATTCGTGCATCGGCGTTCTTATCGGCGAGTTCCGATATCTCATTGGTTGCAGAGCCATAATTTATGCTCAGGACTTGCAGCACCCTTTCTTTCTGGAGCCCTTAGTGACTACACGGCGAACAAGTGTTCCAAAACGCGTCTTTGGTGCATCTGAACGTCCAACAAAGGGAATCATAAAGAACTTGCAGGGAACGCATGATGACGAGGCAGCCAAGCATGCACGATCATTGGTTGAGCTTGAGGGGAAACAAAACCACGCGGACGTATTTGGAGGGTAAACAAATGCACGAGGAGCACAAAGAGCTGAAAAACTTAAACGTCATGTAGTTCATTCATCGATCCCGCTTTTCTCTACGAAGTTAAATTTCGAAAACGTCCACATGTTATTTCGACGTTTTCGACCTGGTTAAATTCGAACCTCGACGGGTTCGCGATGTTCCTAGTTCTAACCATTGTTGTAAACCCAAAGCGAGATGCAAATCTTCTGATTTTGGGATTGTCGCTCGGACGCAGGAGCGGGCGGGCTTCTTCCAGCGGCTCTTCTCGTCTCTGGGAGTGCTGCTGGAGTTCTTCCACGCGGAGGACAAGGGCCTCTCGCTCAAGTCCCTGCACAGCCTCCCGTATCAGGATCTAGACCGGCTGCTGAAGCTGCACAAGGCGGACACCACGGACCTCGTGGAACTCTACTGCCTGCACAGGCTCGAAGAGCAGAACCGGCAGATCCAGCAGGGCGCCAGTCCCTACGGATGGCTCACCGTGCGACTCGGCTACAACGCGGCCGCCGAGTGCCTCTGCGTGGACGGTGAGCATTGTTGCGGAGCATTGTCGTGGCTTTTTTTCTGGACCATTAGCGCACAAAATAGAGGAATACTTGAGGCCTGTAGTTCGTCGTCCTCATCGTCGTCCATCTTTTTTAGTCGGCGCTCATAATCGTTCGTCGCCGTTTGCCTCTGATTCTCGCCGTTGTTTCTCGTCTGTCGTCGTTCCTTGTGATAGTTCCTTACTGCTTGTAGTTCGTCTCGCGGTTGTTTTTCGATCGTCCTGGTCGTCCGTCTTTACCGTCGTCAGTTTCCGCTGTTCTTGTCATAGTCGAGAACGACAGACGACGAGCAAAGAAAAAATAGACGCTTGAGCTCTTCCGAAGACATGGCCGCATTTTCCGCTGTGCTCCAGGCTTGCGGTGCGCAGGAAGATCAATCTTACAACCAGTAGGACTTTGCGTTATATGTTTTGCCTGGATTCATAATAAGCAAAGCGACGAAACAGCACGAACAGCTGGGCACATTATGTTGTATAAGCAACATACCTGTATCATAAACTCGTGGAGTTTAACGACGTGAGAACCCGAAACTGAAAAATTAGAAGGGGAACGGCATACACAGAGATGAGCGTATGTATCGTCCCCTTTTACAGTGATAGCTGTTATGGGCGTTTCACACAGCTAAAAATGACCTCCGTTGTCGAGGTTGTAGTTGTTCATGGTGTAGTTGGCGTAGTAGGGCGTACGGTGTCCGTCGTCGATGCTGTCGAATCCTTGGACAATATCGCCCGCCGCCCGCGGGAATTGAACCTAGGTCCGCTGCGTTCGAAGTGAAAGCGTTACCTCAAAGCTATGGACAATTACAAGCATGGCGTCCCCGCTGGTGCCCCAGTCGGGCAAGCCCGTGCACCATGCACGGGAAGGTAGTGTTTCTAGGCTTGCAATTGCAGGAGCTTGCTCTCACAAGCAGAAACATGGCGGCGGCCAGATGCCCGGCTTGCATTAGCCTATGTGTAGGGGTTTGTGACGCGATGTCCGCTGCAAGCACTCTCTGGAAATATAGAAAGAGATAGCCGATAACAAAATTCCGCCTTAGCACCGTCAATTTCAAGGGCTTGTGCTGGGAGACGCGCTTTTACGCGACCCGGAACAAAAGTGAAACGAAAGTGTTCGGAAGAAAAGGTCAGATGTCCATTTTGTTCCGAACGCTTTTGTTCGCCTGAACGCGACGCCGATGCCCGACGACTTCTCCGCGACATGTAGCAGCTCTCGCTCCAACTGTATACCGTGGATTAACGCGGGACTGCTCATTCTTTATCTTCCTTAATCTCTCGTTTTGAAGGTATTGAATGTTCATGAACTGGCCAATATACCTTTTTGTATCTCTATCGTCCTGACATTTACTTGTCCAGTTGTGCGCTGTTTTCTTGTTTGTTTTATTTTGACACCACGAAGCTTTCATTTCAGAAGGTCTTTTTTATTGTGTGCTTTTCATTTTTTCTACACAGTTATGAACGCCCGCGACCTGCAGCCCCTGGACCCAAACGGCAAGTAGCTAGCATGCTACGCTAACTGCATGTGCTCCGAATGGCATGTGCAACCCCGCACCCTCCCCCCTCCCCGTGGCTGCAGCCGCGACAGGGGACGGATCTTACGCAGGTTACAGTGACCCCTTCGTCATCCTGGAGATACTGCCCAGGCACCTGTTCCCGGACTGCCCCCAGCAGAGGACGAGGGTCCAGAAGAAAACCCTCTTCCCACTGTTCGACGAGAGCTTCGAGTTGTGAGTATGCCGATTGGCGCTTCCGTATCCCCAGGGGCCATAGCAGGTCTCTAGCGACGAGAGAGACCAGTTGGGCCTCTTAAACCTGGCAAGTCGCTAGCCAACTTAGGGGAAGCATTCTGAGAATACGGAGACGCTACTGGAGTTCGATTTTTGGTCGAGGTGAAAACGAGAACTTTCCCGTCTGTTGATTGGCAGCCTTAGCTTGCGCGTCATCGAGCATCGAGACATCTTTGACCCGTTGGCTAGTTCACAATCGGGCAATATGTTGATGAAAATGTCTTACCAGCGCACAATTAGTGAGAAAGATCTCAAGGTCTCCAATGTGCTTGTTCTACCACTTCTTCATCCATCGGTGGAAGCCAACTTGTGTAAAGGGCTCTCCAAAGAGAACATGGCACCCGCCGTGTTTGCACAATTCAAGGCATATTCCCTTAAAGTTGCTGCGCTCTCTCGTCCATTATGCATTATGTTTATGCATTAAAGGGACGCTGACAGGATATTTATGCTCGCCTAAGTTTTTATTTGAACATGAGCTATTAGTGTCAAACTACCCGGAACACAATTTACAGCACGAAAATCGTTTTCTTTCTGCCCGAAAACAGTTGGTCGAGAATTGGCACATTTCAGTGGCGCTCACTTCCGTTTTTATGGTCACGTGGCATTCGAACTATGTGTGCTAAATATATTCAAAGTCGTGGGTTATCTAAGGAACACCATTCTCATTATTTAAAAAAAAACACAAAAAATAATATGGACCCCCTTTCTTTGGCCTTCAGAAAGCCTCAAATGTTTTGATCGTAGAAAAGCGTGTTGCATAGGTCACAGGAAGTACATGTACAGTGTACTCAACTGTTAAATAATAACGCGAGAGCGGTGGCTGGAGAGATTGCATGCGTCATCTACCGGCTCACTCTGGCAGCTTTTTCGGCCGTCGTTTTTGGAGTTACACTCTCAGCGCCGAAAAAATCACCAATGCGTACCTCGGCGACAAAAAAAAAAAAAAAAGAAAAAAAAAAAAGAAAAAGATTTGCACTTTGTATTTGTTTTTTGTTGTTTAAAGAAGGTGGCCTTTATCAAAGAAACTGCAAGATCACCGAGATATGGTAGCCCCGCATGGTAAATGCACAGGTGTGACTAAACATCGTGGCAAAACCCACAAAACAAACAAGTAAAAGTTTAAAGCGTGGGTGATAGAGAACGAAACGAGGAAACGAGGAGGTCATGCGATAATTGTTTTGGGGAGTGACGTCAATCCCAAGAAGAGCCGCCTTATTCTCTGCCGCATCATTGATTTATTCGCTAGACAGCTCTGATATCAGTTTCGACCACCGCTCCCGCGTTATATTTAACCAGTCGAGCACACTTACACGCCCTTTTCAATTTGGCGACGTACCGCGGGCTGGACGGCACGATTGCGGCGTAAGTTCGTCGTCGTCATCTTCTGCTTCAAAAACCCAAAAAGCGGAGAAAGGAAAAAAAAAATATAAATAAAAATGCGGTCGGGTGTAGTCACGTGGCATCAGGCAATGAGCTTCCATGCTCGTGTTTCGGTTTCAGTTTCGAGCAGTTGATGTTTTTGGCTTTATTGAATATATGCACGACTCTGCGGCATAATATTAAGTGGGTGTACGTCTCCTAACATTATAATAAACTGCCTGGCAGAAAGAAAAAAACAATGGGGGCGGGTGTCAGTGTACCTTTAAGCACACACGCATCACGACTTTCCTCTTCGCCTCCTCGCTTTTGTCTTTTTCCCTTTCTTGTTTTGGGGAAATCGGGGACTGATAACAACAGCGGAAGCCCTGAAGAGAGCCAGCAGAGCTTGTGAGCTTTTGTCCATACCCGCGTAAAGAGCACGCTTGGGACCTCTGTCCCAGGACGCAAATGGAACAAAACCCTTCCCCCCCCCCCCCCCCCCCCCCCCGGCAAGGAAAACGTACGAAAGCGGACTGGAGTGCGGTGTATGCAGTGAATTTAGAAAACAAGGGCTTTGTAGTGCCTCAACAAAACAACTTGAGGTTGGCAAAACAAACAAAGGTTGTCCAACGTGAAATTGCAGACGATCACAATCTCCGCGGAAGCGCTCGGTTCGTGGGAGGTTATCAACTTTCTTCCCCTCTGTTAGCAGTCGGCCTACGTTTTAGAGCGCAGCTCTTAGGCCTCCGTTTCGGGCTTGAGCGGCGTCGCCGTCGCCGTCGGCGTAACCGCGCGGTGCATTATCGGTAAATTTTCCCGAAGAAACCCGAGGTCCTCCCGAAGGACCTCGGGTTCCTTCGGGAGGACCTCGGGAAAACTCGGGTTCCTTCGGGAGGACCTCGGAGGACCTTGGGTTCCTTCGGGAGGACCTCGGAAGGACCTCGGGGGAACCTCGGGTTCCTTCGGGAGGACCACGGGAGGACCTCGGGTACTTTCGGTGATCTCGGGGAGGGGGGTCACGTGACCCCCCGAGGTCACGTGACCCCTCCCCGAGGTCACGTGACCCCCATTGTCGCGTGACCCCTCCCCCAGGTCACGCGACCCCTCCCCCCGAAAACACGTGACCCCCAGTACCCTTCCCTCCTCCTCCTCAAGAGCTGCGCTCTAATTCTGCGTTACAGGGAGCTGTAAGCGGCTTTCATTTTCTTTCCTTGTTTCATTTACGTCTGCAAATGACGCTTCGAAACAGACGATCCGCGTTTTAGAGCGCAGCTCTTAGGGGCCCGTTCCCGGCTTGAGCGGCGTCGCCGTCGGCGTAACCGAGGTCATCCCAAGGTCATATCAAGGTCACGTGACCCCACGTGACTCCCAAGGTCACGTGACCCCTCGAGGTCACGTGACCCCTCGAGGTCACGTGACCCCTCCCAAGGTCATCTCAAGGTCACGTGACCCCAAGACCCCACGTGACCCTTTGAAGGTCACGTGACCCCAAGTCACGTGACCCTCTGAGGTCACGTGACCCCCGAGGTCACGTGGTCTCCTCCCCAAGGTCACGTGACCCCCAAGGTCACGTGACCCCTCCCAAGGTCATCTCAAGGTCACGTGACCCCAAGGTGACCCCCACGTGACCCCTCTGAGGTCACGTGACCCCCCGAGGTCACGTGACCCTCCTCCCCGAAGTCACGTGACACCCCCCCCCCCCCGAGGTCACGTGACCGCCCCCCCGGAGCATATTAAAGAATGAGGGGAGGAAGAGGGGTCTACCCTCCCCTCAGTACCCTTCACTCCTCCTCCTCAAGAGCTGCGCTCCAATTCGGCGTTACAGGGATTTGTAAACGGCTTTCACTTTTTTCGCTCGCGTTAGCAGACGAACCGTCTATACGCTATTTTCGGTCGCTCCGCGAGGGGTAAATTGGATGTCGCTCTCGTTCTCGCAGTTACCAAGATCGGACCACTCGTCCCTAGGCCACAGTTCTCCTTTTCTGCTAAGAGAGACCAGTGGGACTTCCTAACTTGACAAGTCTGTAGCCAACTTAGGGAAGGGTTGTGAGGATACGAAGACACTTCTGAACCCTGGCAGCTTGTGTACTGGGGACAGGTGGTTCCGCGTACCTACTCAGACAGTTCACACGTTTCGCTGATGTCCCGTGGATGTGCATAGGAATATATTTGCCGCCTACAAAACGTTCGCAGGTTTTTCTTTTTTTTTTTTTTCTTGTGCAGAGATCCACGGAAAATGGGGATGGAGCTAAGGGAAACATAATAAATATCTTTAAATGGTGAAGTTATTTTTCTAACCCATTTAAGAGAGAGCTGTAACTAAAGGTGGTTTAGAAGAGAAATTGGATGGTGCTTTAGAAACAGAGTTTCTGATAGTGAACAAATAATTAATAATTCAAAGAATTGGAATTCACTGGTGACAAAAACGCAATGATCTTTCGCATTTTTGTCATGTGATTTGAGTTTCGCAATCAGGTGGTAAATTGATTCCGAAATTTGGAATCAGTGCCGCAATTCCTGTTCACAGTGATGAATAGGCAACGTCAACTTTCTCGCACCTTGTTGTTTTCTCTGTAGCGCGTCCTTGGCAGATATGCCGACGTCGCGCTGCCTAAATAAGGGCGAAGTCACTCTTCCACGCATCGTTATGAACGGGAGTTCCTGTGCTCTTTCTGCAATCAGTTTTGAAATCAATCGACAAAGACGGGAAAACTGATCGACGATTGTCTGCAAGTCCGTTGGCATTTCGCAAACTAGGGAACTCGTTTTAGCCTATTGCGTAATTACAATGTTAAGTATATCTTGATTGATTAGCCTGTTTACTGTGTCGGTGTTTTTCTTATCTAATGTCTGCCGACCCTAATTAATGCGTACTGAAAACGGCCCACGTGTCTTTAAAAAAAATAAGTTCGGATTAAAATTAAACACCATATAGGTAATATTTTTTCCCCGCTGGTTCAGTTCCGTTGCGCAGGAGCGTTGCCGGCAGGCTGTGGCGCTGCTGAGCTTCACCGTGATGGACCACGACATGATGACCCGGAACGACTTCGAAGGCGAGGCCTTCTTTGCCCTGGCGGCCGTGCCGGGCGTCGAGGAGAGTCCCCCCGTTGCTCCCGCACAGCCCGTTGACCTGCCCCTTGTCCAGCCCAGAGAAAAAAGTGAGCTATGCGCATAGCGATCATCATCGTAACCATCATTATTACCATCATCATCATCGCCTGTCGTGCGCCGGCAAGAAACCTCTCCCTCAGCGCCGCGTGACTGCGCGACATCGTGATGCGCATACGTTGTCTCGGACGCGAAATGTTCACGCCGCTGGGGGAAAGGAAGATTTATTTCTGTAAGCGCGCTGTCTAGTGCGAACGAGCAGAGCGGAATACATTCTCCCTCCTCGGGTATTTAGTTTTTATATTGCACAAACTGCCTCTTTTCAGCCGAGCGTGTTGGTAAAGTTCATTTACACGCGAAAAAATGGACAGAATAAACAAAAAGGCACAGAAGATGATATCTTTTGAAAGTTGTGTTCCGTGCTCTGTCCTTTCTGTTTCTTCCTTCGCGTGTTTTCCCAGTGGTGAATGCCTACACATCTGAAGCCTCCCGGTTCGTCCTGGTGTTTGCAGATGAGATCCTCTGCGCCCTGGAAAGCCGCACTTGGGATAAGGAGGCCCAGGAGTTTGTGAAACAGCAAAAGAAGCGCCGATCCTGAGTCCCCTCTTCCAAACTCCCCGTGGCACCCCCAGGTCCTGCCACCTTACTGCTAAAAGCCCGCCGCCCCTCAACTGACAAGATGCTGACCCATCCGCGGACAAAGCGGAGCGCCCTGAGCCTTAAGTGCCCTTTTTAGTTCCTGGTGCCCCATTCTGCACCTTAGCACGCACCGTTATCATTGGTACACAAGCCAAGATGGCCGCAGAAGATGGCGGACCAGAATGACTGTCCAGTATGGCCGCCTTAGATGCCAGCCATGATGATAGCTAAAGTGTGCGCTACCATGGAGTTTACAATTATTGTCATAGTAATGTCTCTAGAAAATTTCCTACTTCGGCCGCAGCTTCTCCGGTTTCTTCCACTGATCGGTTTGGTTTTGTATCTTTCTATATCTTAGCATTATGGGTGTATTTATGTTTTCAAGGTTTGCCGACTTGGCAACTGGAGGGCCACTTTCACAGTTTTGGGCTTGGTTGATACAACTTTTTGTGATCAAATTTTAGAAAGAACTACCATGTGACAGACATGCGGAATAGCACCAGTAATGTGGGCCATTCAATGCTCACTAAGTAAATTGTGGGTCGTGGTTCTATAGGAAAACTTTCAGGCTGTACAGGGTTATGTATTGTTTCGTTGTGTACTTTGTTTTTTGGAACGGAATTTCTCAATTTAAGAAGACGCCTGGGCAAAAGAAATGACTCCATGGGGCCGTCGATTTGTTAATATAATGTAAAGTTGTTTCTTTTCACTGGAGCGTTTCGGGGATGGTCTTATGATTATAGCGGATTATACCCAATGGGGCTACTTTCTTTCGTGTTCAGAGTAAACTATCACTTAAGCCATTCGGCGACGTTAGTGTTATAAACTGAATTATCAGTTTTTGTATCCTGAAGTTTTATCTTACGCTTGGCTACACTCTGTCTGGCCAAGAGGTACGGGCCAAACGCTTTCTTTCATCACAAACCACTACCCTTTGAAAGAAACATGCGCCAAACTTTTATGAGAACCCAACTTTTAGCTCCAAATCGAGCTGAAAAGAAGACCAACATTGCACCTTAGTCCCCTGTGCTAGCTTTCAGTTGACCCGCGAGGCTGCTAGTCTCGCTTCTTTGTCTTTTCGCATACTTTGGCGCGCTTCGGTGGACAATCGCACGTACGTCAGCAATGTGTGGAAGATGCACGCCCCGTTTGTGGTATCTGTGTCTTGCGCAAGTTCCAATCAACTAACCCGCACTCTGTTTTTAGCTCACATAACCTGTGACATCCTCTTGACAGCTTCACTGCGCGTGGTTGGCGCGTAACATATTCCCAGTACCGACATCACGAGATATGTGCTCATTTGTAATACCTTTATTGTTTTAATATTATTGAAATAAAAGAAGACTAGTCCTTTAAGCAGACTGCAACCTGGCGCCCGCTTGCGGAGCGGCTGAGGATGATTACATCTAGTTGAATGCAAACGCTCTCAACAAAGAGACTAGCTTTCAGGTACCGCGATTTACTTTTCTACTTACTTGTTGGCCATAGACTTCATTCAAAACTCGGTGTGACCTGCTAAATTTGTTTTTTTTTTTTTTATTTAGGTGCAGTCTGCTCCAATTATGGTATAAATGATAATGGCCTTCGGAAGTCATTGCTCTAAATAGTTCATATATTTTAGAGCTTCGAATCTTAAAATCAGCGGCATGTACTCCATGTCATTGCAGCTGTGACGTTGAGCATCGAGCGCCAGTACAATAATTTCCATATACGTCATACAAGTACTTTTCAGTGTCGTACACCATAGTAGTAACAACATAAAATAAAATATTTCTACTGATGGCTTAAAAAAAGCCCTTCAAAACGAAGCAACACGTGTCCTTTGGACCTGACCCTTGACCATAGGCCGTTCTTGACCGCAGTTAGAGCTGCCAAGACGAAAAAGAATCGCATGAACTGCACCCTCTCGGTTAATTAGACAGCTGACTGCCGGGCCTGTGGAAGGATGACATAGTGGCAAAGCAATGCAGACAGTACTGCTTATCCACGGTCACTCTTTCTACGGAGTCGCATGCCGGTTTGGTTTACAGGGATTCTTAAGATATGCGGTTAGAGTTGGCGCCATTGTGGCGAGTGCTTTTTCTCTGCGTTGTGCGGGTTGTGAGATTTATATAAAAAAATATGTGAAAGGGGAAGGCGAAACTAAGGCTCATATACGCACTAAAAGGTAACGCGGTTCATTTTTCGAAAGAGTCCTCTTGACCTGCTCTTCGCTCAAGAATGGCGGCGTGCAGCCACTGGAAAAGAGAGACGCCGGCCACTCACGGCGTCACATGAACGCATGTGACACCTTGATTGGTTGGCACCATTTGATAAAGAATGGCTACGTGAAACCAAGAAAGAGGACGAGGGAGGCGCTGGCCAATGCCGGCGTCACATGAACGCATATGACGCAGTGGCTGGTCGGTGTCTTTGCTCAAAAATGGCGGCGAGCAGCCAAGAGAGAGCAAAGCGACGGCCATTCTTGCGTCACATGAATGAACTTAACGCATTGGTCGGCGCCTTTGCTCAAAAATGGCGGCGAGCAGCCAAGTGAGATAGAGGCCGGAAGGACGGAAAACTACGCGAACAGTGAAGAATCGCGTTGCTATTTCGTATTGAGGGCTTTAGGCCAAATGACTCAGCCATCTTCCTCGAAGTCGATTCCCTAAAGAATTAGAAGAGAAACTTGGAGATACCGACCACGGTAGTGTGTAGGAACGCAACAACCCGTCCTCGGACGCCTTCAGCCACGCCGACACGGTCCGGATGCCAGGGACCCTAGTGCTGACGCCACACCACTTGACTATTGCGCTTCAGCAGCGATGTACATAATTTTTCGAGATATCAGCAGTATGCAGCATTGACCTTGAACGATGTCTCTGCGGCTGACTGCGTTATATACACTTACCAATATAAACTATAGCGTTTCTGTAGAACACGCGTCTGGGTAACCTTCGAGGTGCAATCTGCACAATGAGATGTACCCACTCTCACTCTTTGAGATCTTCATTCATCCATTTTTTGTGGTCTCCGCACTTTCTACCAGTAAATAACCTTTCATATTAGAAAAAGAAGGATCCAGACCTTTCTATTGGTTGTTATTTCTTAAATGATATTTTGGTTTCTTGACTCCGACTTTCCAGACTTTATCCTCCTTTTCACCGGGAACTTAGATTGTCATGAGGCAACTAAAACGCAGTCTGGATGATTTTATTTTTTCAACTTGGAGAGTGGCAGTCTGATTTGATAAAGTAGTACGTTTCCACTGAGCCTCTACGGCGTTCAGGCGATACTTTACTTATTAGTACACAATCTTGACTTACTAACTACTATGTCGCAGTGTTGAATGAGTCTATGATTGACATGGCCTTTTTAACGAGACTCTGCTTCCCCAACATGTATTCGCGAGTACTGGGATTTCCACCTGAGCTCCAAGTTTTTCCTATTTCCGTATTCTGATAGGACGCCGGTTCAGCCATAAAAAAAGTATGTATTACCGTCAAGTTGTACGAACTTCCCTGCCACTGTCCTAGTGCTACTCAGCGTTACTAGATCAGCTCATTTATAGTACTGCCCATGGACGCTGGTTTCATGTGCGATACACCCCCCCTTTCTCCCCAAAGGCTCGCCTCCCTTCGTTCGAAGCGGCACGATTTTGAAGACGGCTGTTTGGGTAACTAGAATGTACTCGATAGAACGCACATGCCTTAAAGCAGTGTGTAAATGCCGCTTCACCGTAGCGTCTCCAATGAAAACAGTTTTGAAAATTGAATCCCAGACTCTAGATTGGGGGGGCGGGGGGGGGGGGGGGGGGGGGGGGGCGGGGTTGGAGGGGAAGTGTTCGCTTTTTTTTGCGAGTTTTTGAACTGAGTTGATCTAGTAGCGTTGGTACTACTGGAAACGTTTTTGCCACTTGTTACGACATAAGAGAACGCTCTCTAGGCGACTTACTCCCTGTCAGCCGGACGGTGTCGGTCAGCCTCACACAAGCGGACTGTCGCACCTGGGTCAGGGGCACCAACACAAATGCCTTCACGAGAGTAGATATGTACACTCCCCGAGAATGTGAACAGAGGATCGTTTGCACGAAGAGTACTCCAGAAAAAAACGCTGTTGAACCGTGAGGAGGAGATCATGATGATAAGGCTTGCGTATCTATTGTATAAAAAAAATAGAGAAGTTCGATGCTTTAGACCCATGTTACGGATAAAATAAAACACGCTTTTCGTGTAAGGCTCGTCACATTTTGAGGCGCTGGAAAAAACGATCCTTCTGCGTTAAGTCCGCATTCCGAACTCCTTTTGTTCGCGTTCCGCCCATTGAAGAACACGCGGGAAGCGCCTCAGCACGCACCTCGTATCACTGCGCCGCAGTGTTCTTCTGCGGCAGAAAGGCCGTCTGCTTTTTTCGCCACCACCATGGGAACGAACTCTCAATGACTTTTTCGGACGTCGCGTGTATCACTCAGGTGCGTCTTAACCTCTCCGCCCCGCGGCCGGCGTTCACGCCGCCTCGCGGCGACAGTCTGCGGCTGCTCTTTACAAAACTATTAAAATTTGTCTAGCAGACGGCATTCGGGAAATTTGGCGTTCGTTGCCATGGTGGCGGCTATGAAAGCAGACAGTCTTTATGCTGCTGAAGAACACTGCGGCGGAACGATCCGAGGTGCGTGTTGAGGCCCTTCCCGTAAGCTTTTCAATACAAAGTTCGAAATATGAACTTAAGGCAGAAGGCTGATTTTCTCCAGATCCTCATAATTTGACAAGCCTTACACAAAAAGCATGGTTTTACACCGGAGTTTGGAGGTACTTTTTGTTACTACAACATGGCTCTAAAGTAGCAATGTGTCGAAAATTGTACCTATGAGACACTTTTTAAACACCATGGAAGTTATTTCACGAGCATTTTTGTGTTCAGCCTGCTACCTAGAGTATGATCTGTTTGCACTAAGCAACCATAAGTTTGGTTTGAAGTTAGGGATTGTCTTAGATATGTCTGGCAGAGCTGCACCTTATGGAATCCTGTATAATTGCAACCTATCTTATCTTTTTTTTATATCTTGGGAGATACGTCCACACGGTTCTCCCAGCCCACCAATTCTTAGCGACATGTGCTGCGTTCTTTTCTTATTTTTCATATTTCTGTTCCAGAGTAGTCATTTTTAGTCCGAGATGTGGATAACTTACGAATGCGGTGTACACCGTTACTGTGAGGCAGGGTGAGGACCGCTGCGTAAACCTGGAGATCCGTCGCGACGTCTAGGTACAGTGATTCGACGATGGACAGAGGAACGAATTCGCCTGAATCATTTAATGACGGGTCTTCAGTCTTACCTTGAATATTTTTTTTACTTCATAACCTATAGCAGTTTAGACTACTTTACTAATAAGTCACGGGAAGCATATTATACTTGGGTATTTGTCGCCTATACTGAAGAGATGACTGGTTACCAAAATGAAAAACAAATAGAGGTTGTCATATGTTAAACAAAATCGATGCTAGGCGTTTTTTTTTTTCTTTCTTTCTGATTATGCTCTTCGTGTCTACGATCCTCAGAAAGTCCTGCGCCAGAAACATAGCTATGCACATCCTCTTTCCCTAAGGGACTTCGCCTGTCCCGCCTTTCGTGTACATATATACCAACAAGACATTGAACGACGGGGTACGGCAAGCGGTCGCTACTCACAAAGTCCCATTCGGCCATTTTCTTCGACTGGCGCCATTGTATCCCTTGACAATGATGAGATGACTTGAGTGCAAACATGTAACAGTCGTTTATCTGACGCGATGCTGTGTCATTACACCCCTGTGTCTCGAGCCTTGCTCGTTCTCGCTTGTGTAACAAAAGCTGTCATCACTGCTGTTACCGTTGGTGTTGATTACACTCTGAATGTCATATCAAAGTTGGCGAATCTTTAAGCCCGCAAAAAATATATATTTATGGATTATATATGTGTATGTGTATTGTGACTACACCTGTTGAAACACTATATACGTGGTTCCTGTTTCAAAGACGACATATCCTGTTATAATAATGACGAGGTAGGAAAGTCAGCATAGTAAATTGTCTTATGAGTAAAATAGCGACTATGGCATGAACCGGGCAAACGTCAGTCACAATTGTAAAGTTGTTTCACCAATTTACATATATATATACTAGCGTGTTGTTTCTTGTTGCCTAATATGCGTGTTATAGTATGTCCTGAACAAAAAACGTATCTAGTCAGATCCGGTCTCACCAAGACATATCATATAGCTTTCAACTTTAAGATGACGTGTTTGCAAACCACGCAAATACTCCAAGAATGATATCAGACACCAAGTCCCAACGTTGATTTTTTGCCGATTTTCAGCCAATAAACTTCGAAGGGTTGCCCGGTTTCTCGCGTTTCTAGATTACTTTAAGATTACGTCGCGTTAGGTGAGCGATAAAAAGGCTGCAATCACCTAGGTACAAAATAACTCATCAAAGCCGCTTCCTTCAAAGTACTATATACTGGTTGGTTTTCGTGGACCACTGCACCAGCGCGCGTGCCTGGAATATTGATGCCTCGACCAACAGCAGATTAATACCCGTGCCACACGGGCAACTCGAATGCCCTTTACAAGGAATGGCATTTGAACGATCGGCCAATCAGCGCGCGACACTCCGAGCGTGGGGCGTTCCACGCGCGACAGATCGCGAGCCGATTCGTCAATCACATGAATGTCATTCGTTGTAAATGGAATTCGAGTTGCTCGTGTGGCACGGGTATAAAAGTGTTTATTTTATCGCCGTTAAAGATGGCATACTTTGCAGTTAGCTGCAGCAACTCTCCAGTGTTGTTAGGGCTAGGTTGTTTCCCGGAAAATGTAAATACCTGTAAGGCTGATTCGAATTCCATGTTCTATTGTTGTGAGTAATCTACCCTCATCAATGGCATCATATTTGTGAGTTCCCTATTCCCAACATACAAATTGCCTGTTTGTAAACGAAAGTAAAATAAGAGCAGTCTTTGGCTTGGAGCAAGCTAGACTACCAGTACTCTTACTCTAGCACGCTCATAAACCAAGGATTGCCTTACCGCCGTTGTCATGGTTTTATTATAATATAATTATACCTTGTAGTTATACCGGCGTAGACCATAAAAACTTCACTTTCGCTGATATTTTTTGTGCCGATACTTTCCTGTTCTGCTCTTGAACTGGTCGACCAGACTGAATGTCAGAGCCCTTGAAAACTCGGCTTTATGAAGATGTAGTTGAGATTCTCATGATAGGATATTGATATGGATACTTATTACATAAGAAGGTTAACAGGGCAGGACTGTTGCATTACAGCCGTGGAATATTTGCGAGTTCGCGGAGTGCACGTGGCGGTAACGGCAGTGGTGACAGCGCCCAGAGTGTTTTTGCATTGTTGTGATTGCTGGAAGAGTCGAGGTCCTAGTACACCGGATTGTACTAATCACTCGGAGCCCAGCTTCTGGTTTTCTTCTTACACTGTGCCGTCTTTATGTGATCGTTCCTCGTGGACTGTGCCGCTCTCGACGATGACTAGCGTGTAGATGTCGTCAGATATGTCACCTCCTGCCAAACGTCCTGCCTTAACAAAGAAATCTTCATTACCAAAGACTCACCCTCAAAGAAACCCATCGTCAGAGCCTCTTTGAGCTTTGAAGTCAAGATGATGCGCATTTCACCGAATTTTCGCACGTACGTACTCACTTGAAACACTCACACGCGGGCACCCAAAATGTATGCATGAACAATTCCCTTCAAAGGACAACTCCTGGGAGCTGCCCTTAAGACACGTGGAATGCGAAATACTACGGTTGGCATTTGGACCAATATACGCTCGCTTGTTGGGATAGTAAGTACTTCTGTTTCTGACTTTTTCGCGCGTACGGCAATTAAGACATTCTCACGGGATATTTCTGCGATTAACGAGTTCACGTGGCTTTCATTTGTTTGTTTTAGATAAACCATTTCATAAAGTTTTGAGTTCGAGATTTTGTCTGTTATTTCAATATTCTACAGGTGTCTGTTCTTTCCACCGTAAGAAAGATTTCAATAACACCTTTTCTGGTTACCTTATTGTTTTTGAGCCATCGGTGGTAGCATGCAGTGAGCTGCCAATTTTTACATGAAGTTTCTTCATTATGTCCAGTTTTCACACACCAGTTTGACTATATGGCAGTTTTACTTTACAGCTGGCTTCACACACTCAATGGAGCCAAAGCGATGACTGTTTAAACCCGTTGCTATTTGTTTTTATCTGTCTCCAATTAAATGTTTTAAGACATGTATGCTTCTTACCACGAAAGATCTACAATCTTGTCTGTGTTGGCCTGGTTTGAAGGTTGTTGTTTTACTGCAGCTTGCTGTCCGATACCCTTGTTATCTTCGCATGTTCTGGTGGGGCTTAGAGACGTTGGCTTCCAATGACCAACATGAAATTCTGCTAGGTTTTGCGAGAGAAACCTTCGCGGTTCCGGGAGTTTGCTGAAACGTGTCCTGCACAATTTTGTCACTGGCGCTGATTCCCCGAAAACGACAGTGTTGCGTGTGTACCTCTCCTCGCCCCGAAAGCACTTATTTATTTTACTATGACCCCTTTTATGGTGCTGGATAATGTGATTGTTGCCACCCGTCTTTATAAGGAGCATTATGTGTCATATTATATACATGCTATTATATATATATATATAAATACATAATATATATATATACACCCGGTTTATCAAACTGTAATAAAGGCACCTCTTGAAA